TTAACTGGGAATAGACATCCTGTATCAATCATACTCTATCTGCATAAAAGGCAGAAACCTAGCTCAAACTCCAGGTGTCAATTTAAAAATAAAGATATCACTTGCCAACTCAGAGAACAAAGCCAGATGCATCACACCTTTGTCTTGGAAAACAAAAAATCACCTTTCAAAGAGGAAGAAATGTACAAGGAAACTCTGAACACCAAGGCCCAGGAACAGACAAGCTAGTTCTTGCCTACTCTCAGCAGTTTCCCACTGCAAACTGCATCAATAACTTTAAACACTTTCATAGTGCAGGTAAAACACGCAGTATAACATTTGAAGAGAGCTGTTAGTGCTGCCTTTGACAGCTTCTGTGATTGTTCAGGACACAGTGTTGTTGTACACAGCTCATGACAGAAACAAAAAGCTGAAAAAAGCTCTGCTAAATAGAAGGAATTGCAGTTGTTAACATCAGAAACTAGATACAGAACAAAAGCCAACAAGTGCCAGCACGTTCTGATTTCCACCCAACCCTCCGAGCTTTGGAGTATTTGGAAGAAAAAAAAAAAAAACATTAAAAATAGTTAACTGTAGGACATTCTACCTTCAGGCAACAAGTTGTGATCAGCACATATTTTAAAACACCTTCCACAGTTTGTGCATCGTATGCATTATATCATAGGCGATGGGGAAGACCCAGCATCTGTGCACACATTAACAAACAAGCAAGCACTGACAGAAGTCACAGGTAAGATTTATTCCAAGACAAACCAGTGCATTGATTTGTGCCGACACCAGACCCTAAAACAAATGAAACAAGTCACAAAAAGTTAATAGTACAAACCTGTTGCAACTTCAACACATTCATGTTAGAAAAAGACATTGCATGCACCCAGCCCTAAGAAAGCAATGAGATTGTGAGTTTACAAAGATCAAGGTACCAGAAGAGAAAGGCACATTAACCTCTGGTTGGTCCATTTCAATATTATTTGGATGAGTCATAATGATTTATACACCCTGAGTCTGTGGGAGGCCTTGAAAAGGAAAGGAGACCAGGTGAATGGACAAAAAAGGTACAAGTTTAATGAGATTAAAATTCAGCACCTGAAATTTCCCTGTTAATAAGGGAATCTAAAAAAGTAGTTTCTAAAAATAACAAGCGTTGATTCCTAGATTTTCATTCTGAGATCAAAGAATCAACATCCAGAACTAGAGACATCCCAGTGTGTGCTGCACGTGTTCTTATACATCTCTCTCCTGGTTTCAGTCTGATAGACAGAATTTGTGTGTAATCAAGTGTTTGATTTATTGATTTCTTTCCCAGTTCAGAAGTGGTCAGGCAGCCTACACTTTCCATTCCTCCAGTGCTGGAACCCTGTGTTGGGTCTGTATGCATTCTTAGACTTTCTCACTGCCAGCAGGATATTAGAAGCTATTAGAAGATGGCACTCAATTTTTAATTGTAAAGATTCCTTTCTGTCAAGGGCTTTTCTTTTTTTTTTTTAATAACAAGATACCACATGCTTTTGATAAAGAAACACAGCATAATAAGTAAAAAGTTACCTCCTAATTTAAGTCCTTAAAAATTAACATGGGAAAAAAAAAAAAAAAGTGAATCTATCTGACCTCTCTGAAAACATTTCTGATTAAGCCCTTTCACAAGTACCTCCTGAGCAATGAATAAGCACTACCTCCCTGTTGTTAAACTCAGGTGTTCTGAGAGCAATACCAAACGCTTATTTGGGCTTTCTTTTTATTTTCTTGTGCCATTCCTTGCCCATTCTCACCACAATGAAGTGCAGAAAAAAGGGAAAGCACATACAGGAGATCCCTTCAGAAAAGATGTGGCTGCATTTCTGCTTTCTTTGTATGCAGCGTGGACAAATCCCTAGTGTATGTGCTTCAGAGCCTTAAGATAAGCTATGAAGACATTGCAGCACTCAACTTATTTTAAGTGGAGGCCACATCATGGGTTGCAACTGTGGAGTGACCAGCAGCGCACAGTGAGCCATTTTCACTTGACTTCAAGCCAGAAAGGGTGCGTAGGGCTTGTGCAGCGGGAGCTATTAGAAGGCCAGCTCTGCCTGCATCACACAGCATTCCTAGGAATGAGCTGTACCCAAGGTAACTGACTTATAGCAGCAATTGCAACAGTGATTAAGAACCTCTCAGACACCTTGGAAAAGTTGGCTTATAGAAAATAAGGGTATCAGACCCCTACAAACAGATCTCAGAGCTCCAACCTAGCTGCTGTAAGATGCTGCTGCATTGCTGAGATGCAGCAACTGGTGGCCAATCTGTTTGTGATTTCTTGCAATCAAACAAAACAGGCAACCTCCACAAACAGTCTAGATAAGCCAGCTTTATTTCACATTTGCACCAGGTGAGGGAAATCTGTTCACCACAAAGTCAATCCCTCACAATTGAGGGGCAAAAAGTAAGACACCAAACCACCACTTAATATAGATGGAACACAACTTTAATTTTGTAACTCTGCAGCTGCAAGCTATATACAAAGCAAGTGCTCAAGTGAAGAAAGAGGTTGAAATTCTACAGAAGAGTAACTGGTACACAATTATCTTAATCCTTAAAATACAAAAATGCTGCCAAAGACCTCAAACAGAGGCAGCAAAAATATCCCCATAATGAAATTCAGAAGTCTCCCTCATTAAGGGAGTCACAAGAATCACTCACAATACAAATGTAATCTTTGTAGATAGACTAAATCTGGTCAGGTCTCTGGGCACTCTTCCAAAGTATTTTAAAATGGATCTATGTGGAAAATGAACAATTGAGACTATGAACAAACATCTATTTACTATTCTTTGGTAATTTACTCACCTTGAACTAACACCAGTAGCACTGATGAAGGGACAAAACAATGGACTCAATGCTTTACAACAGCCCCAGAAAACACCTTGGGAGAACAGTAGCACTTCTCCTTTGCTGAGCTGACAGTACAACAGGGAAGGCTGGAGGAATGACCAGGAACAAGGTGTCTGTGAAGAGAGTGGGCATCACCCACAATGCTACGCTCAAGCTAACATTGTGTTGTAGCTTCAACTTCCATGGGAATGTCTGTTACTTAACACTTGATTGTTGTTTAGGGCTTGTTTCCCTGTACTGCAAGTTGGGCATTATTGAACATAAAAGTCAATAGTTTGATTGCATGTGATTATAAATATGAAAAATGTAGTCTACTTAAAAGAGGTGAGAGGTAAAATGAACAGCTTCCTACAATCAATAGCAGCACAAGATCCCATATTCCTGAAAAGCTGAATAGCAGGAAGAGAGGACTGAAGGTCTGCTACAATTAGTTACCTCCTCTCCTTGGTGCCTAATGCCAGATAAACCAGCCTGTTCCGCCCCCTCAGGAACAGACTATTACACTGTGTAATCCCATCAGCAAAAGATGTAAGCCAGGGTCTCACTACTTGGCATTATTGATGGAGATGCTGTGTACAAAGACAAGAGGGACTGTAAGTACACAATCAGACTGTGGTAAATAGCTCGGATAAATCTGGCAGGAACTCTTGCAGAAACTAGAATCTCTCTACCATGGCAGCAGTAATCTCCAGCAGAGACAGAAGAAAAGAGCATGTCCCAGTCTTGCCTTTTCTCCTCAGCTTCAACTGCTCATTTGGCACCAAAGCAGCGAGGCCAAGGCATGCACTCTGCTCCAGCATTCATCCCAGCAGAAGATGGTAACAAGGCAAGAGTTCCTGGTGCCTGCTGGAATGCCAGGAATAGCACTCTGGAGCCCTGCATTTTAGCCTAGTATTAGATAAGATCACCATACTTAAGTGCATACACTTCAGAGCTGGACCCAAAAGGCACTGGATCTGTTCTCCCCACCCACTGTCCCAAGTAAAATTCAAGGGAGTTTAAACAGAGAAGGCAGTAGGGGAGCCTGGAGAAAGACTGAACACCTCCTGCTGCAAGCTAGATGACAGTGGATACTAACGCAACATGAGCTAATAGCAAGTTATCTTGCTACGTGGTAAGCTTTTAGCCTGCATTAGACAAGTCTGAGACACGCTCTTTAACCTTAGAGGAAAAAATAGTTTCTTTATTCCATTGGCTTATCAGAGCAGATGGCTAACAACCCTAACAACCAGAACAGATATAAAATGGAAAAAAATTCCATAACCTGGGACAAAAAACCTGGGCTTTACACTGTCTGAAAATAACCTACGAGCTACCACAGCAGCACACTTGGGAACCTTGGCTCGCTTGGAAAATAGTTTAGTTCATTTTTCTTGTCATTAAAACTCGTATCCCCAGCCCCCATTTCCTTTCATCACCACTGCAGGCCCCTCAATGTAATATTATTCTAAAACAGCCACACTGCAGAACAGCCTATTCAAACTCCAGCTGTGCAAGCCGATACCTGGATCAAGTACAGGAACAGAAGATCATGTTTTTGCTCCTGGCACTGCTGAAAACTACAATTAAAATGTAAATGCACTTTTGAGAACTCCTGTGCTTCTGCAGTTTGGGCTTGATGGGTAATACCCCTGGGGAGTCTATCCCTGGGCTCCAATGAGTACAGCTTAAAATTACTGTATTCCTTTACATATAAACAATATCATTAGACTTGTACTTTTAAAAAATAAGATCAACCCAGGTCAGGGCCAGGCTCTGCAGATAAAGTAGTAGCTTATCTCTTATAAATATTTTTAATATTTTTTAATTACAAGTAGTCCTCACTCCAGGTAATGTAACTGACACAAAGTACCTGCACACACACAGCCCCCAGACTTTCACAGAAAGTGCAGGAGCAACCACTCTATTAGAAAGGAATCCTACCTCGCAGCAAAGTAGGGGAGGGGGCACGTGGCCACGATAGCCTAAATGTGGGGAGTCATTTGGAGTAAATAAAATAAAAAGAGATACCAAATACCCATCATATAAAGGATCAAGGAGGTTAAAGCAAAGAACTGGTTCAAAGAGATGTATAAAATTGTCGGAAGCCAACAGAAAACTCTGACAAAAAATAACTTGCATTTAAACCAAAATTCAATGGCATCACACAGTTTCATTCACTGTTAAAACAAAGGAAAAGAAAGTAGAAAACTGCGTAAGGATCAGCATTTGTAAAGAGTTATCATTAGCTCCAGAGACCAGCGTAATTCCCGTGAAGTCCTGAAGGAAGAGGGCCGCCTGCCACAAAGAGCTTTGTTCCAGATGAGTCGTAGCAGTGGGTGTAAACAGCATTTGGGAAGAAATTAATTTCAGAAAAATAATTCCTCCAGGTTTCATCATGATTCTGTTAAAAGAAAGCTGAGATTGTTATTGTTGCCAAACAAACAGAAAACCTTGTTTCACAGCAGCAGAATGTAGTTTCCAGGGCCTAAAAGGGATCTCTTCCGTTAATAATTTCTGAAGCTTCAGACAGATCAACTTTAACTGGAAGATAACAGAGACTTCCTGAAGCTTTTTCAGCGGTTTGCACAAAACATCAAAGGCACATGGGGTGAAGGGTAGGGAAGATACCAAATTCCATTAGTTTCTAAAGTTGCACAATGACAGAAAAAATAATGGTTTTGTCCAACTTCTCTCCATTAACTGCTTTATAGCAAAATACAGGAAACTGAACTCAAGTGCCTGCCATAGCATTACTTCAGAAAGACACCATTTTTAGAACCGTGCATAGTTTAATTAAATCTCTTAATTTGAAAACCATTTTAAATTAGTATGTCTTACAGGAAGACAACATTTGAGGTATTAACTAGAAGTCTATGCTTTTGACTGTAAGAAAAGATATGAAATCTGAGTCAGTTTATAAGCAGAGTAGTCTGCCCTACATTCAAGCCCGTGAAAACAATTTTGCAGCATTTCTTTGTTTTCATTATTACAGCTACATGACCATAGTTTTAGTGTCATGCCTTTCATACAATTCCATAAAAACAACTCATTTGAGCTCAGTGGCTACAAGCTACTCACCAGCCAACCTTTCCCTGTAGTCAGCTTCAGAATTTCACTTCCTCCTAATTTCTGCTTCTGCCCATAGCAGGCACGTGGGGGCCTTTCATCCAGGAACCTCTGGGCTCTGATATCATAGAACAGTAAGGAACCATGCCCTGTTCCCACTGTGATGATGTGTTCATAGAAGCTCACTGATCGAATGCCTGTCAAACAGAGAAACAACATACAGTTCAGTGAGGATGAGGCATGCTTTGGTTCTGCAGTGCTTTTGCTTGATGTCTAATTTTTTCTTAAACAAAAACTACCTACTAGTTTTTCCACATCATATCAGTTTACCCACTGCTGAGGAGCAGTGCAGATAAACCCCACTTGTACTATTGAAGCAGCAGCTTCAGTTACACATACTATTCCCCTTCTTCTCGGAGGCCATTTGCTCCACTGATGGCACAATAGTATCATGCTACACTTTGAGCAACAGCTCTGACAGGAAAGCAGAGATTGTAAGATACTTAAGTTCAAGAGAAGCCTTGTTCTGACAGCAATGAGCCTTAAGTAAATGCAGCACAGAATTGCTCAGGTTGGAAAAGACCTTAAAGATCATCAAGTCCAACCAGCACAAAACCAAACTACCCTAACTCTAACAACCCTCCTCTAAATCATGTCCCTGAGCACCACATCCAAATGGTTTTTAAACACATCCAGGGAAGGTGACTCAACCACCTCCCCAGGGAGCCTATTCAGTGCTTAACAACCCTTTCTGTAAAGAAGTTTTTCCTGATATCCAACCTAAACCTCCCCTGGCACAACTTGAGGCCTTTTCCCCCTTGTCCTGTCACCAGTGAGAAGAGACCAACCCCACTCTCACTGTAAGCACCTTTCAGGTACTGGAAGAGAGCAATATGGTCTCCTGTCAGCCTCCTTTTCCCCAGACTAAACAACCCCAGTTCCTTCAGTCTATCCTCATAGGGCACATTCTCCAAGCCCTTCAGCAGCCTTGTTGCCCTTCTTTGGACCTGCTCCAGCACCTCAATGTCCTTTCTGTACTGAGGTGCCCAAAACTGAACACAGCACTTGAGGTGAGGCCTCACTGGTGCCAAGTACAGGGGCAGGATGACTTCCGTAGTTCTGGCTCACTACACCATTCCTGATACAAGCCAGGATGCCATTGGCCTTCTTGGCCACCTGGGCACACTGCTGGCTCATATTCAGCCGACTTTCCATCGGTACACCAAGGTCCCTTTCCGTCAGGCAGCTTTCCAGCCACTCCTCCCCAAGCCTGTAGGGTTGTCTGGGATTGTTGTGACCAAAATGCAGGACTCGACACTTGGCCCTATTGAAACTCATACAGTTAATCTTGGCCCATTGATCCAGTCTATCCAGGTCTCTCTGTAGTGCCTTTCTCCCCTCAGCAGATCAACACTCCCTCCCAATTGGTGTCATCTGCAAACTTACTGAAGGTGCACTCAATCCCCTCATTAAGATCCTTAATAAAGATGTTAAATAGGAGTGGCCCCAGTACTGAGCCCTCCTGGGGGACACTGCTCTTGACCGGCCTAAAACTGGATTTAACTCCATTGACTACAACTCTTTGGGCCCGGCCATCTAGCCAGTGTTTCATCCTAGGTTCAGTACTGGGGCTAAGTACGTGGCATGACCAAGTACATGGCAACACACAGTGAGAAGAATGCTTTACTGGTGTTTTCTCATGAGCTCACCCCTCCCTAGCTGCCTGCCAAGTCTCAGGGAGGAGATTCTGTGTGCCTCTATATAGGAACTTGCAAGGCATCCTGTCATCTGTTCCCTATTTATTGTGCAGAAGTTTGCCCTGTGTAAATACCCTACCCCAAACTACCCATTTACACATGAAGAAATTCCACCATTTCCATGCTTTCCATTCCTTTATAACATGATGTTGGGCTGGGTTATACACTCTTTGGTTTCTTAGGCCTGTTTAAAGTATCACTAAATTGCAAGTACTCAAACAGGAGGTTAACAGATCCACTTGCAAATTGCTGTTACTATACTGAGTGAAACTGGAAGGCAATGAAACTTGTATCATGCTAGAGTACACAAACGATACGGACAGTCAGGGAGTTTCCACCTTTAGGGTCCTAACACCCTCATCTTTCCAATTCCATAACCTGATGTTATATCCTCAGCCACACGCATCTGCAACACATGAACAGAACAGGCAAAGCTACACTGTCACACTTCAGAGATGAAATGAAGTCTGCAGGATATTACGTGGGAAACCACTGTGAAGTTCTCACACTTAGATTTACCAGATACATACAAGGATGTCCAATTTAATTCACAGCTACAAATGCACATGAGCAGGTCAGAGACATCTTTCTTCCACTCATTACAAGGTGCTGGCCCTTGGCAGACAAATACATTCATAAGGCTTTGAATACTCTGCAATCAGCAAAAGCAGTCACTTGAGTAAGAGGAGAAAGACACAGAAGGAGATATCCTCTATTTCTGCTACAAGTGCTTTTGACAAGTAACTTGCTTCACAGAAACAGGTGAAGTAGCATGAATGAAGACAACATACTTTTCAGGGCTATTTATTAGTAAAAAAAAAAAATCTGATCTGTATTGTGTATTTTTCTTCAGCTGAATGAAACAGAGATATGCCCATCATGAATAACATGCTTAGAATGGCACTTCTTCTCACTCCTAAGGTGCTGAAGTACCACCTTAGATGAGTAACATTGAACTAAAAGCACAACCTGTGCCTAAAACTGACAAAGACAAGCTCTCTAACATTCACAACACTGTACTACTATCTACGGGCTTGAATATTTGGTCAGAAAATTGAGTCTCAGCCCTAAGAGACAAGGAGACCCTACATACTGCAGATGTGTACTACACAAAGAGCAGACACAGAATCTGAGCTTCATAAGCTCTGCCCAATACATTAACATTGCTGCTGTCCGGATACAAGTCAAGGGCACAAGAAAACACACTATATGCCAGCCAAGCAGAAAGCAGTTGTTCTTGCTGATCAAAGATTTGAGTTCAGGGCCCTGCATTTTCCTGTACAGCTGTTATGAAAAGCAACACTTGCAAGAAACACTAAAAAGCTTTAATTGCCTTCTGTGAAAAGCAGGTGATGTTATACTAGGTAAAAAAACAGCACCAGTTCCAGACTTACTATGTTACCATCTTTCTTTGACCTGCTTTTACACACAACAGAAAAAGATAGGAAATTAGTGTGAGATTCACATATTTGTACACATATCCACATCTTTTTTCTAATTGGAGAGACATGAGTTTGAAGGGCACTCAGTAGATAAGGAATTGATTGCAAGCCACAGCAAGAGGGTTGTGGTCAACAGTTCTGTATCCAGGTGGAGGCTGGTGATGAGTGCTGACCCCCAAGAGTCCCTCCCAGGACTGGAACTCTTACATTTCTGTCAGTGAAACAGGTGAAGGGATTGAGTGCACCCTCAGCAAGTTTGCAGACCACATCAAGTTCCATGGCACAGCTGCTACAGCAGAAGGAAGGAATGCCAACCAAAGGGATTCTGACAAACTCGAACAGCGGGCCCATGTAATCTGAATGAGGTTCAAGAAGACCAAATGCAAATGTTGCACCTCCGTCAGGGCAACAATGTATACACACTGGGAGAATAATTCCTTGAGAGCAGCCATGCCAAGAAGGACTTGGAGGTTCTGACATAGAAAGTCTTTACCATGAGCCAGCAGTGTGCACTTGCAGCCTGGAAAACCAACTATATCCTGTGCTGCATCAAAAGAGGGGTGGCCAGCAGAGCAACGGAGGTGGCTGTGCCACTACAGTCTGCCCTGGTGAGGTCCCACCTGGATTACTGCATCCAAGTCTGCAGCCCCCAGCTCAGAAAAGCTATGGAGCTTTTAGAGTGGTCCAGAGGAGGGCCACAAAGATGATCAAAAGGCTGAAGACCTCACCTAGACAGATAGGCTGAAGGATAAGGTTCAGTCTGGAGAAAAGGCAGCTTTGGGGGGACCTCATTGCAGCCTTCCTATATTTAGAGAGAGATCATAAAAAAGAGGGAAATCAACTTTTTATATGGATAGATAGTGACAGGACAAGGGGGAATGGTTTTAAACTAAAGGAGAGGGAGACTCGAGATCAGATGTCAGGGGAAAGTTTTTCACTGAGAGTGGTGAGGCACTGGAACAGGCTGCCTAGAGTGGTTTGGGTTGCCCTGTCCCTGGAGGTGTTCAGTGTCTGGCTGGATGGGGCAATGGGCAACCTCAGCTAGTGCTGGCAACTACAGAAGGCCTGGGCTGGTGATCATAAAAGGCCTTAGTTGGAAGGGGCAAAGATCATTTAAAGTTCCAACCTTCCTTCTGGAAGCAAGGCTGCTGGAATGAGACACGCTACTAGGACCCTTCCAAATCAAGTCTTCCACGACTCTGTGACTCATCAGGTGCACATGGAAGCAGACAGCGTGTTCAGGTAACACTCAAAACACTTGGAAATCAAACCAGATTTTAGTTCAGGAAAAAACAACCTTCTTTCTAGAGATGCTGCAGCACACCAAGTCCCAGTAGGATGAATAGAAAGTCAAAGCACACAGAATCTTGGGAAAAGGTAACACTTACGTGCCTACAACTGAGGCATAAAGAGATATCCACTCACTGTACATAAAGTTCTGAAAAAAGGTCTTTTTCAGACAGCAACTAGTGCCTCAGAGACACTATCAGGATGATGACATACTTGGAGTAGAGATTTCCAGCCATCACTGGGAAACACACTCCAGTGTCTTAGTACTACTTACCTATGACATTAGAAAGCAACTACATGCAGAGGACCTCCAAAGAGCCCTCAGTGACAGCGAGGTCAGTGGTGCTGGTACACTGTTCAGGGCTGGTCAAGTGTTATTTTTCATTCTAAAACAAATTCTCCCATATCTGAAAGCAACAGGCCCTGACATTAATCTGGGAACAAACTCTAGTAAAAGAAAGAATTTCTTGACCCTAGTTTACAGGCCTCTTCTTGTGATAACCCAACCAGTGAAGATATGTATGCTCAGATAAGTTAAATGAGGACTAACTTCTTAGTCATGGATTAATATAGTTTAAAGTGGGGTACTGCAGCACAGTGCCTCTTCTCATGCTTCCAAAATAAACGTCATGGGGAGAAGTGTATGGGAGCACACACCCAACACAAAAAAAAAAAAACAAACCCAAACACCACAAGTACTTATCTTACCACAGACTTAGGTTGCTACTTCTGCAAGCAAAAAGTTCAAAGCACCCTTTGACAAGTTTCTTACCACTGCCTCGTTCTTTGGAACAGACAGATTTAACGTTGTGAGAAGGCTGCCTCGGATCCAGGAAGGAGACATGTGCCTGTGATCCTACTGCATACACTGACCACTCCTGACCATAAGCCAAACACACATTCTCCCTGCAGTATGGCAATTTTGTGGACAGTAACTGGAAACAAAGAAGAAAAAAGTCAACCCATTGCAATAAAAGAGCAAGAAATTAAAAAAAAAAAATCTGTAAGCTATGTTCAAAGAAACAGCAGAACAAAAACTGCAATTAAAAAAGCTCAACATGAAAACAGAAGTTAATAGAGAAGCAACAACCTGACTCACATGAAAGAGACAGGACGCCTTTCCTGAAGCAGTCTGAGATGCTAAAGGCTGGGCTTCAGAATTTTGCAAAGAACAAAGGATATTTTAGCAAATTGTTTTGCATTTTTCCCTGCTGTTGTTATTGCTTCAGCAGATAAACAGATGCACCTGCTCCCTGCTGAAAAGGCTCACCTTACATACAAACAGAGACAGGTCTTCTTTTAATCTAAGGTTACACTTCAGCGTGTTTAACTTCCATAACAAACACTGGTAAATAAGTACTCTCTGTGCAATAGCTCACTCAATTCATGCAGAATCAGCAAAAGGCTAAGAACAGTGCATTCACCTCCTGAAGCTGTATTTATTTTCGAGAGGGGTACATTTTATTTTTCAGTAAGCTTTTAACTATTTTACACACACTGCTTTCCTCAAGCATTTAACACAGATGAAAAACAGCAAGCAGGAGTAACTGGTAGACAATTGTCAAAATTTAACACCAAAACAGAAAAGGTACCTTTGACAGCGTGTGCTCTGCTTTCCAAAGATGGAAGTACCCATCTAGGGACACAGCTCCTAGCTCCTATTAAATAAACAAGCAGAGTTAATTTCTGTGTTATAAAAGCCTTTAAAAACATCACACACTGCTTGGCATGATTTATATTCACCTGTAATTATGTACATGCTTTACCAAAATAAATTTTCACTTCATATTGAACTTGATGGAACACAAACTACAAAGGTGCTAAGTAGAATAAGAACTATTAAAACAACCAAAAATAACTTTGGATTAGATCTTGTTGGACAAACATACCAATTATTAGACAGTACAAGCTGGACAGCACTAGCAGCTCCCACACTGATACTGACTCTGGCACTACTCCACTTGAAAAAGCTGTACGAAGTCCCCATCATAAAGGAGTGATTAGCATGATGAAAAATGATGAAAATGCCAATATGAGCACTGTGCTTCTTAGAGCATGCTCTTCTTGACTTCAGATTTCTGTTATTTGAGGGCAGAAATAAAAGAAGGAAGAGCTGCTACTCCTACTTGCTCCACTACAATTCATCTCTAGCGTTAATAAAAGGTCAGCACTGGGGAGGTTAACATTTACTGTTTGTCAAATGCCAGTAACACCAAAGCAAACACTGGTGCCTGTCCTCTGTGTCAATCACCCCGCTTGCTGAACAATCCAGTAACAATTCAGACATCAAATCAGGAACTGAGTATTAGCTGGTCTTCATGAAAGGTGAAGGAAAGCAACATGAGGACTTAAGGCTAGCTACAACAGTTGGTTTTGGTACTTATTCTGGTTCTTGAAGGTGCTCCCCCTTACCCTCTCTACAGTACAAATCAAAAGTCAGACTCACAGCAAAACTTCTCCTTCTCAAGAAGCAAACAAGTCTTTTCACTTGGGGGCAAAAGCAGACAAAGCAGATGAAGATAACCATCTCATATGGGAAAGACAAAAGGATTATTACACTGCCTAGTTGGATTTAGAACACTTGATTTAGATTACTTTTTTCTAGTACATCTGAACAATTTTAGGCATTTTCAGCTGTCATGTGTATCTTACTGACCTTGTTTTTATTGTTGAAAGCCAGCGCTCGAACTTTGCAGTTGTCAGGATTGGTGTTCTCTTTAGGGATATCCTTCAGAGCTCTGTGTGTTATGTGGGCATAGACAGGAACTTGAGACAAGTTGTGCCTAGCATCACTTTTGGACAGCACATCTTCTGTGACTTCCCAGAGACCCATTGAACCATCTCGAGAACCTGAAAAAAATAGGAACAGCAATTCATACATATATAAACATACACACACACACACACACACAATTCCCCCTATGAAAAACAAACTGTAATAAACAACACAGCCCAAAAGTTAGGGAAAGAAATCTACTCCTATTAGTTTAGCTCAACTGAACACATTGTTGGGTGTCACTAATTAGGATTAATAACATGATCTTCCTGAGCTATGAAATTATAATATCATGACCTCATTGAAGTGTTTCTTTTTTTTCCTACACTTTTTTCTAAGTATTGAATCTATTTTCAAATAGACCAGGATGCATTCAAAAAAACAACTTGTACAATCACCATTAATGATTCACAAGTGAAATAAACTGACATGACTGAACAGCCAACACATTTAGCTCAGCTTACTAAGACTAAGTCTGCTAATGCAATACAAAAAGCCTCCAAGAAAATGTAGTTATGTTTATGCAATTTTGGATCATTTGATTTCTCTCACTGCCCAAGTATACAAATGCATACTTGTGAACTAAAAAGAAACAGCTATTTTAAGTAACAATTTTACAGTAAAACAGATTTGTACAGGTTTAAGCAAAGTTTGGATCAATGTCTTCTTCAAAGAAGACAAGAAACTTAAGCTGAACAAGGAAGAAGTTGTGTTTTTCTACGGAATCTGGAGATATTAAGCCAAAATATGAATAAAAAAATTGGTGACGAAAGATGAGCCTCTTTGGTTCACAGGTCAATGAAGATCTAATCCAAGGCTTATGCCCTTCTCTTCTGACATTTATATAATTACATTTCAGCCCTCACAGATCTGACTCAAAACTCAGTTTCTTCCCTACACCATTTGAAAACCACTTCCCTTCTCTCACAAGGAAAGTGGAAGTTATATTTCTATGCTGTGAAGATGCTAGAAAAGACCAAACATCTTCATTCACCTGTTAAATTTATAGATTTCAGTACCTCATAAGGAGCAAAGACAAGTAAGTAAAGCATCTTCCTGCAGAGTAATGTCTACCAGTACATCTTGTTGCAATACATAGTATAGATGTATTTGCCCCCTGGCAAATGAATTCAGTCATTTGCCACTATCAACCACTACACAGATAGATAAAGAACTTCCAATGGCACAGCACAGCAGCAGGTAGCAAATGACAAAACATCCTGCCACTCCATTTACATGCTGATGGTTTCTAATAGCACGTAATATTATGGAGACTGCCCAGCAGTAGAATTTCCAAATATCTTGACCCACTTTAGGAGGAAGCAGTCCATTTTAATAGCCCTAACAGCCATAAAAAGACAACGTATGTTGTTTAACTGGTTAGCCCTGAAGCCAAGAAGAGTATTATTTGTTAGCCTAGGCTCATCCTGAGAATTATTCACCCCATTTTGAAAGCTTTGGCATGGAAATCTTTGTCCAGTAAGTATAGCAATTGAGACATACTCTCTCAATCATGGTTGCTTAAAGTTAAGTATTTTAATTTTATACTCATGGAGTACAGATATACAGTGCTATGTTTTAGAAGCAAACCCTTGTCTTGCTCTTACTGAAACTAAGAAGTAAGACTAATCAAGCCCATGGCCCAGTTTGCTCTCTTTCAGCAGTTCTGACAGTGGTGAGATGATGTACTGCCAAAGCTCTAACCTCAGGCTAGAAGAAAACAGTATTTTATGTCAGAGGAACAAATGCTCATCTCTTGCTTTCTATGTCATCTAATCTACCCCAAGAAACATAACAAGAGTTTTGATACAAGAGTTCTCTATTTAGTTTCTCAGTTCAAATAAAGATATTTGCTAATTCCTAAACATCTGGAGCTTAAATATTCCTGGTTAATTGTTTCAGATAAGAGTATTATTTTAATCTTGCTGATTGAAGTAAGTGCCAGAGGTTAGTCGTCTTTGTTTCCTCCCAGTGTGATTGGTGAAGTTTCAGGAATTCAGTTTAGCATTCAGACCTGCTTCCTTGCTTTTGACATGTTTTCCCTTGGTGCCTCTCATCTGGAGGCTGGGACTGATATCCTGCTAGAAGTTTCATACAAGAGTGAACGTGGCACTTTTTTACTCACACCTCCACTCAACAGTAACGGTGCTATTTCACATGCTGTGCCCCCAGTGACCTTATCTCACCACTGAAAAACTGTAACAAACTCTGCTGTTTTCTTCAGTCTTAGTAGCAGACTTGAAATTATTTTTGTAATACAGACTTTTAAATCAGCACCACATAAGGACTGACATTAATAAATTCAAAATCAAATTCCAGGATTAGCTTTTTTTTTTCCCCCCTCTATAAAGGAAAATTCTAACCCAATTAACAATGTTAATTTGATTTTTATATGGGACAGTCACAATATTCTATCATCTCAGTTTGACAACCATGTAAAGCATTATATCCTGTCAGCACAGACAGTCAACTACCATATGAATGCACTGGAATATTGGTACTGTTGCCTTTACACAAGTAATTCTTTACGAAATTATGCTGGTTATCCAACAAGTTTCTAAAAAGTCACTGACTGACCTTTTCCATTATTGGTTTCTATATTAGTGCAGGCATGTGGCACACAGCACCTGCTGGAAAAGTAGCATGTCAAGCTGTAGGCAACCCAAAAGGCTCCTGGAATGCATTGAGGACAACTTCCTGGACCTGTTGCTCACCGATGCAAATGAACTGACTGGTGACATCAGGATTGGAGGCTGCCTGAGCTGTAGTGACCATTGCTGTGGTTGAACTCTTACTCCGGAGGGAGATGAGACTGGCAAAGAGTAAAGTTAGGATGCTAAATTTTAAGAAAGCTAAATTCCAGCTCTTCAGGGAGTTCATCAACAAAACACCCTGGGAAACTGTCCTCACTGGCAAAGGTGCAGAGCAAAGCTGGTGAATCCTTGAGGAAGCTTTCCTTAGCATGCAAGAGCTCTCCATCCCCATGTGTAGCAAGTCAGGAAAAGAAGGCAAGAGACCAGTGTGTTTCAGCCAGAACCTGCTGGTCAAACTGAAGAACAAGAAGAAAATGCACAGGCAGTGGAAACAGGGACAGGTACTGTGGGAAGAGAATAAGGAAGCTGCTAGGCTGTGTAGGGATGGGGTCAGGAAAGCCAAGGCCCAGCTTGAACTGAATGTGTCTAGGGATGCCAAAAAGAACAAGAAAGGCTTCTGCAGGTACCTCAATCAGAAAAGGTAAGTCCAGGAGGGCATAACCCCCCAGGGAGCGACACAGGCAAGCAGGTTACAACAAACAAGGCTGTTTGGTACTTCACTTTTTTTTGCCTCTTCTCTGTCATCTTTGTTAACTGCTTGCCACAGAGTCCTCAAATATTTGGTTTGGTAGGCAGTGATTGGGCAAGCAATGTCCCTCCCACTATAAGCAGAGATAAGATTCATGACCAACTGAGGAACACCCACAAGCCTAAAGATCCCAATGAGATGCATCCCAGAGTCCTCAGGGAATTGGCTAATGAAGTCACTCTCAATGATATTTTAAAAGTTGTGGCAATCAGGTGAAGCCCCTGGTGACTGGAAAAATGGCAACACCACATCCATTCTTAAATAGGGTAAAAAGGATAACACCGATATCTACTGCTGTCAGTCTCACCTCTGTGCTGGAAAAGATCATGGAGCAGATCCTCCCGAAAGCTATGCTAAGATGCTTGGATGATAGGGAACAGATACAGGAGAAACAACATGGATTTGCTGGGTAGACTATTAATGGATGAAGAAGTGGCTGCAGGATTGAGTCCAGAGAGTGGTGGTCAATGGCTCAATGTCTGGATGGAAATCACTGACAAGTGGTGCCCCAAAGAGGTCCGTGCTGGGATCAATACATTTTCATCAATGACATCAACAGAGGGATTGAGTGTACCCTCAGCAAATTTGCTGATGACACCAAGCTGTGGGGTGCAGTCAACGCAGCAGAGGGAGAGGATGCCATCCAGAAGGACCAAGGTACATTGGGCAGTGCGCCCAGGTGAACCTCCTGAGGTTCAACAAATCCTAGTGCGAGGTGTCGCACCCAGGTCATGACAACCCCCACTGCCGGTACAAGCCAGGGGATGTAGGGACAGAGTACAGCCCTGCCAGAAAGGACCTGGGGGTGCCGCTGGATGGCAGCGGGGCGTGAGCCAGCAGTGTGCCCTGCGGCCCAGACAGCCGGCCGGATCCTGGGCTGCATCCAAAGCAGCGCGGCCACACAAATGGTCAGGGATGGAGCAGCTCCCTGCGAGGACGGGCTGAGAGAGCTGGGGCTGTGCAGCCTGGAGAACGGAAGGCTGGGGGAGGCCTGAGAGCAGCCTGTCTGTATCTAAGTGGGACTGTAAGACAGGGACAGACTCTTCATCAGTATCTGTGGTGATAGAACAAGAAGAAATGGCTTCAAACCGAAAGAGGGGAGATTTATATTGGATATAAGGAAGAAGTATTTTTACAATCAGAGTGGTGAGGCACTGGAACATGCTGCCCAGAGATGTGGATGATGTCATAGCCTTGGAGTCCCTGGACAACCTGATATAGCTGTGCATGTCCCTGTTCATTGCAGGGGAGTGGAATAGATGACCTTTGAAGGCCCCTTTCAGATATAAGGATTCTATAAGTCTACAAACAGGCTTATTTAATAACAAACTGATAATTAAGTTTCCATTAAAGAGTCTTCATAGGATTTTTGGAAAACAATATTGCTCTGCTGTATTCCAAAGCCATTAGCTCATAACTAGTAGCCCCTCCTGAAATTCTCCCTCATGCAGAATCCTTCCTTGTAAGTCACTGTTTAGAGACCTACTCATGATAACATCTATTGAAAAGACAATAAATTCCCTCTATTTCCAGAAAAATCATATCTAGGTCAGGGACCTACATATAAAACAAAGCTAAGCACTGTGCTAAAAACCCAGAATAGTTCAAATAACTGAAGTAGTTCCAAATGGCTTCAAATGCAGCAGTATTCAAAACAGATCCTATTGACTTAGAAAATGAATTTAAGATACTAAAAAGCTACATGAAAATTAAATACTATTTAGAGCTCAAAAATGAGAAATTGAAAGTTCTGAACTGAAGGTGTGAACTCTAACAGGTTCTTTGAAATTTTCCTTCTTATCCCCAAGATGAGTTTTAAGACCCACACAGCTCTACTTACAATACGCGGTATGCATCAAGAAGAGCACTTATACAGACCAGGTTTAAAGTCACTTCCTGGATCAGCATGAAACATTTAAGAAAATGGTTTAGTGATTACAGTGCATTGTTCAAGACACCTGGGTTCAGGCAAACTCAAGACTTACTTTCTCTAATCATAAGCTCCACTCAGATATAGAAAGAGATAGAATTCTGACTGTGAATGGGCTGAAACCTCTTTCAAGAGGCTTCTTGTCTTTCACTGACTAGAAGAAGCCAAAAGCGGTCGCGCTGCTAGTCAACTCAACTGATATGGTCAGCTGCAATGACTCTGAATGGCTAGGCACAGAGACAAGTATCCTCAAAGCAGGTCCCGTATAGACCCACTCTATACTTCAGGTCTAATACTAACAAGACCTGAAGTGAAGGACTTTCACATAAAACCAAGAACATTGGCACGTACTTCACTTCAGGTAGACAGTGGGGATGAAGAACCACAAGGTCACACCAAAAGGAGCTAAAGGAAGGAGTCTTGCAGCAGTAGGACTGTCCTGTTTTGGCTACAAATTGTGGAGCCTGCAGCTTAATCTCAGCAGAGCTTAATCTTCTCAGCAGAGAATACTGAAGGCCACAGCATTCAGAATGAGACCCTTTGCCTAATTAACCACAAAATCAATGCTAAATTTAACAACAGTGAGTACAACGAGCTCTTTCCTCCTCCCACTGCAACTGCTGGAAATCAAACAGAAGCACTAGGAACAAGAATACTGCCAGATGATCACCACTGTTACAAGTGCTCTCATACACTGATAAAGGCATTTCCTTAATGCTTGTACTAATGCAGAATGCCAATATAATATTGATAGAAAAAAATGAATTTACCAGAAACAGCCATAGTATCACTGATCCATGCAATTGAAAATATCCAGTCCTTATGCCCATCCTAAAAGCAAAAAAAAAAAAAAAAATCAGACTTGCTGTGCCATTTTATTCTCAAGTAGTCTCTCAAAACAGAAGTATTCTTCATTTTCCAGTTTAGTACAAGCACAAAAAAAACCCAGACCTACATTAAAAATATCATACAGGTAAAATTCCAATATCAAGCTGGAGCAGCTCACATATCCAACAGTAATTTTAAATTTATTTTGATAAAGCTAGACATACAATTAACAGTTAGAGAGCAAGTAAGTTATAGAAAAACAGACTTCAAACCAAACTGATCTCAAATCTATGGACTTGGATTTCACTTTTCAAAAGCAGTGTTCCTTACCTTCACAAAATAGATATTTCCTAAAACACATCTCCCTACTAGAGATAGTAACTAAAACATCTACAAAACTAAACTCACTAAAACTAAAAACTTACAATATATGAATAATTTTTCAAGACTATTAATTAAAAATCTTCTATTTAGTATGTAAAGAAACCTGAGGGAGAAGTCTCCAAGCCTCTAGTTCTGTTTGAAAATCTGCAAAGTCACAGCAGCATGCAAGTGAATAGTAAGTCATAAAAATCTTCATAGCCAGCTGCAGGAAGGCTTGTCTATGTGCTACAGCTGAAACTCTGACCTCTGCTGTTGTCATTAATGCCTTCATGAAGTCCTTATTCAAAAGGAAGGAGAAATGACAGAAGGAGTAACAGGACATCACTGCACTCATTTCAGCCTTTTTCTTTTTAAGAATGGCTATTCTAAAAAAGCATGATGACATTTCAGAAATAGATTCTGGTACACCTTACATCAAAGTGCCGTAAGCCACAGAGTTAGAATTAATCCTCAAAGCCAAGTACTGCCTTTGGAATAATGCATATGTAAGCTGCATTGGAAAAGCAAAACTTGAACAATGTGCATCACCTTTTCAGTTTCAAGAGCTTTTTCACAGTTTTGTGCCTCAGTTTCAATCTTCATCATCATAATTGAACTGACACTCTTGATTTTGTTACAATTTCAATGCTTAAAAATAATTTGAAGTGGACCCGAATGAAGTGGACCCAAGGAAAAGGAAATCAGAACTACCTCACATGTTTATGTTCACACTCATATTTAAGATACTTTGTTAAAAAAAAGACTAAATCAGAAGTTTTTCGAAGCTTTCAAAAATTCAGAAATTCTTCACTCTTCACTACAAAACTCAGAAGTCTTAACCTTGCTCTGACCTCAGGCACTTCAAAGAAGCAATTCTTACAAGTAACAATAAATTTTCCCAAATATTCCCACTTACATCTCCCACGCAGACAGGATCAAGTGTAGGCAGACGATAAATTGCAAGACTGTTAGGGTTGTCTCCACCTGTAGCCAGAAGGGTTCTTGAGGGATTGAGCTCAATGGCATGAATCCCACAGCCCTGCTGGTTCACCATGCCAGGCTCACGGTCTTTCAGAATAGGAATCTTGGTAATTTGACCAGTCTGGACATCTACCACAAATAACTGAAAAAAAAAAAAGAAAAAAAAAAGGGGATATATAAATGATATATAAATCACCATTAAAAAAAAAAAAAAAAAAATCAGGAAAACAAAGCATTCGGAGACATTCTCTTTCCTCTTTTTTCTCCCCAGACTGAAATCCACAAATGCTGCAAGTATGGCTGGGAAAAAAAAAAAGTATAAACTGCTACTTAAAAGAAATAAAACCCACTGTAACTAAATTGGTTTATTTCAACAGTACTATTTGGTTTGCAGAGCAATGGAACAGAAAGGAGAGAAATTTTACATAGGAGGCTTCTCATTTAACCAAACACTCAAATCTAAGATGCATTGCCCTGTTCAATACTTTGAGAAAACAAAATTGTTTTCAAGTTACTCTTAACACCAGTGAGAAAGATAGATCCACCTCAAAACAGCCGGTAAGCCCAAGCACACTTAGAACAAGTCTCTGGCTGCACAGATAAGGGTACACACTACTGCCAGTGTGAACAGCTATGCTCATCAGCCTGCAAAAATAGAAGTTGCATGTCTATATTACTGTTCCTTTGGCAGATAAAAAAACCAACAATTATGAAGTCCTACAAGTCCTCACCCATCACTGAACACTGAGTTATGTCAGTTCAAACATACTACAACAGTAAAGTTTGCTTATAGTTTACTATAATGGTAAACTATAGTTTAAACTACAATTATAGCAAAGTATGGTTTACGTTGTCCAACAAAGTCCAACTTCATTCACACTGGATCACTTCGTAAGTATCCAGAGTACAGCTGCTCTAACAGACAAATTGATTTAACTGAAAAGACTATGAAGCACAGGCCAACAATCTTCAGTTTCCAGGAGAAAAATGTGCCAAATGAGCAGTTTATAAATGCTTAGCTAATGACAGTAGGCAACTTCTGTCAAGAATGCTTTGTGTCAACAGAATTTCTGTCATTAGAGAGGCCACATCTGGAGCACTGTGCCCAGTTCTGGGCTCCCCAGTTCAAGAAACACAGTGAACCAGGGAGCCCAGCAGAGGGCCACAGAGATGGCTGTGGGCCTGGAGCACCTTCTGTATGAGGAACAGCTGAAAGAGATGGGACTGTTCAGCCTGGAGAAGAAGGAACTGAGAGGGAACCTTACCAATACTTGGAAATACCTGAAGAGTGGGAGTCAAGTGAATGTGATTGGGCTCTTTTTCTGTGGTACCCAGCAACAAGACAAGGGGGAATGGGCACAAATTTCAACACGGGAAGTTCAGTGTGAACATGACAAAAAAGTCCTTTACTTAGACGGTGACAGAGCTTCTGAATGCCTTCCTCTGCAACCTACTGTAGGGAACCTGCTTTAGCAGGGAGTAGGACATTACAATCTCCAGAAGTCTCTTTCAACACCTATGAATATGTGACACTGTGAGTCAACACAAATGACAGAAAAGGAAATGGAATATCATAGAGTATACTTGGCTCCAAGAAAAATGATGTACAATTGCAAATCAGGATTACAGTAGAATTTGGTTCCCTGCCCTACAGCACCCCCAGGAGAGCAGTTTATACATCCAAGTTCTTTTTCAGTGAACTCAGGACTGTAGATCTGTTTTTCATTAAGCACAAGAATTTAAATAAAACTTAGTGGCATATCTGTTACTTTTTATGTATTGAGATAAGAATAACAATGTCAAATCAAAGTCTGTTCAAGTATCATGTTACTCATTCTGTAGAAAAAGCTTCCATCTATATATCACTGTGTGTTGTATGTAGACTTACACCAAACTTCAACCCACAACTCACTCTCCTTTGTAGTCATCAGTCTTGCACAGAAATCACAGCTCCTACAGTTGCTGAATCTTCACCTTCAGTTCTTTATTCTGTATGCAGATGCGGGGGTGAGGGAACAGCTGAAGTGCAGTCGAGCAGGAAGAGGGGGAGAAGGACACTTCTCACTCCCCTCAGTGCAGCTGAGTGTTCAAACCTACTGATGAATACTCAGCATATGTAGCAGCCCTAACTTTGCCCCTGAAAATTAGTTGTCCTGTTCCTGCAGTATAGGCATTAATTTCTTCTCCTCTCATCTTCTTTCTTTCTTCAATATTTTCTTTCAACGGAAGATCTCAATATTTCCCCCTACCCTCCTTCAACAGTTCTTGGTATCATCAGTAGGTCCTAAAGCTGGCACCAAAACTGCTCATTAGGAAAACATCTGCATTTCAGGATGCCCACAGATTCAGAAAAATCATGTTTCAGCGCTTAGAGATGCACAGCTCAAATGGCACCTCAACAGAGAGAAGGACTGAAATTAAAAACCTTCCATGTTCTCCAGTCTGACACCCCTGTCAAACATCTGTGCCTGATACTAGGTTAATGAATAAATAAAAATACTTAACCTAATGTGAAACTCCTTTAATAAAGCTAAACTGTAAACTCATCAATTAGTCGAAGAACTCAGAAACATACAATACTGAAGTATCAGAGACCCTCAAACTCATGCTAAGTTAAGGGACAGGCTTTGAAGGTTCAGCTGTATAGTTTGAAGCAGGAACAACTGCAGATAGGAAGAAACAGAACATAATGCAGGCAAACTGAAAGCACAATCCAAGAATAAAATAAACAAGCATACCTGCTTACATTATGACTTTTGCATCATCTGGGACAGTGCAGGAAGGCAGAAGGTCACACTTACAAGTAGAACCATGAAATGCCAAGAAATCTTCCCTGTAAATTCAGCATGCAGAAGCCAAACAGCTGTTCCAAGCATTTCTGCCTTTTGGGCTCTAAAGCAGTCTAACAAGATAGGCATCCAGCTAAGAATGTTGACAACTGAACACGATTTTATGAGTTCTAAAGACACTACAGTAAATAAAGTGTAAAATATCTGATTGTTTATAAATAAGTTCAGCTAGAATTCTAGCATGCAGTTAAATCTGAAGAAAACAAAATTTACCCTACCTTTTCCAAGAAAACTGGTATTGTTGCTATTGTTGAAATAAGTACAACTGAAAATTGCTCCCAAGCAGTCTAAACTCTTAAAGATTCTTGACAAAGGCATGATAGCTGTATTATCCATTTTATTTCATTCTATGAAGTGGGAATAAGAATTTTTTCAGCTACTTGTACCGAAGCTAAAAGCCAGTCAAAAAAAAAAAAAAAAAAAAACAACCTTTCACTAGGTGCAGCAAAAAAACAGTAAGCTGTCTGCCCCTTGAATTTAAGTTTTACACAATTCCATTCTTCCCACTAGTAAAATTAGCACGCCAAATAACTTGACTCTCAGGACTCCAAGCAAGGACTGCTTTGGACATCTGCCCAAAGTCCAAGCACCATACCTAATCTGTGAGAAACAAAGCAGATTCAGCTATCTTGTTCTCCACAGGAGAACATTGTTCTAACAAGGAAAAAAGTTGAACAACATGACAGAGAAATCCTTTTTTTTTTTAAATATTCATAAGGATATCCTACAACAGTGCTGTGTCATTCTAGAACCATGGCAGACTCATACAGCTTCATACTACATCTGTCACAGTCTCAAGTTTTTAGAATCTGGCTATAATTTCCACACTCAATTAAATTACTAATTGCGTACCTGTTTTTTTTAATTATTATTTTTGTATTGCAGAATAGCTAGAAATTCTTTTATCAAGTAGCTCCTATACATTTTCTAAGAGGCTGTTCCCTTGCCATACTGTTTACAATGTTTCATTTCATTAATGAAGGAACTTAATTGATCAACAAGCCAAAAGCCAATTCCCTGTAACAAGGAATCAAGTATCAGAAGACCTGATTCTGAACTGCAAAATCCATCTTCTGGATCTTCTTTGTCAGAAGACTACTTTCATTTTTTGACTTGCTTTTAAGGAACAACAGCTTAGGAGGGAAAAGAAAAGAGAAGATGCACATTCAGTAAATATAACTGTACTTCCCATAAGTCTTTAACCAAAAGGATTTGTCAAAGAAATGCAGCAAGTAATATTTCTGCCTATGCCATTTTAACACTATATCTGATCTAACCATTACTTCAATAAGCATTCTGGTCATATTTACTTTAGTGGGAACATCAAAACATTGAAAAAACTCATCTTCATATGTAGAACAAGATTTAAAAAAAAAATCTAAGAAATGCAATTTTCATGGCATCATGTGAAAAACACATTGCATTCTCTGCCACTGGATTTGCACACAGAACAGCAGATGCATGATCAACTGAAAATTAGGGCTGCCTGTTCAAACCAATCCGAACAAAACCAAAGCATGTCACCCACAGCTACAGCATGTTGTTATTTCAGAAACAGGATAGACTCAGATTCACAGGATACAAAGAACAAGATTACTTATTCTTCACCTGCTGCTCTGAAATCACACAGCATAATGCACTTTTATCATTCGTATAAACATCTGGAAAAACTTCAAATAAACACACTGCTTCTCTAAAAGAATAATTTGGGGTAGAGTTTCACAGTTGGCTTAAGTCAATCTTTGGAAATCTACATTTACTTTCTTCACATACGTACCCTGCCTCACCACCTTTGTGACAACAACAGGTGTTCAGGTACTCCAGGTCACCCAGATCTTCTCTCTGCCTTTGGCAGAAACTAGTCTTTGTCTCAATACAGAGCAGCAAGCTGACCCAGCTGACTCCTCAGCCGTGTGAACACCAGTGCCAACAAGAATGAGCAGGTGGGAACATCCTGTTCTGCAAGGGCATGGCTAGCAACCAGCACAATAATTTCAGTCTCAGCCAAGCTGAAAAATGACATCATTATCTCTAAACTTTATTTCACTAACAAAACAATAGAAGTAAGACAACGCTCAGAGCAATTATACTAACATCACTGCCGGTTACACTGAAAAGCATGGATTCCCTCCCTGTAACCCCCACACTTCTCAGTATTGTTTTGTTCGGATTGTAAACATTTCTGTTTTTTTAAATCTTAAAATGCTTCACATAAAGCTCTTCATTTCTATGGCAATACAGATTTACTAATGTATCATGCCAAGCCTCCAAGAAACACTATACCTTCAAATACTAAGCAGACTCAAACTGGTAGAATTCCTTCCCAGCTGAGATCAGAACAGGCAATAATCTTAAACTTACAGGTTGTGCAGTACAATCAGCAGCAGGGGGTATTGGCCTTACACAAGTTCCTCAAAAAGGTCCAGAGGGAGAAAAACAATCAAGAACATGAAGGAATTCCTGAGAAGTTAGTTGCAGTAAAAAAAAGTCAGCAAGTCTACACTGAATTCCCATATCCAGAGGCAGAGCAGCACAAGCAAGCACTTCACCTGGATATGAAACTCTTAAGCCCTCACAGTTCCTGGGCATGCACTTTGATGTCACTAAATAAGTTCACTGCCAAAGTCACATTTGTCAGTTTTTATTTGTATCTTGCCCTCCATGTTTAATCTCACGAGGCCGGCAGACAGTTAATACATGTTGACAGATGGCAAAGGATGGAGAAGCGAGAGACTTCATTCACTAAAGGGCATCTTTGCCACCCACACCATACCTGGCAAAGTAGCTAACAAATTCTGGAAACAGACATGGGCATCACATGCAGCAGAGAGAAAACCTAACACTCCCAAGAGATGAGAAACAAGCATCTGACTATGCTTTCACAAAACACTGAAACAAAGGTGAATTGAGGTGTTATTTACTGGTATCAGAGGTTTATTTACAATGAACAAAGTACGGTGTTGAAGTAGAGTTATAAACTGTGGGAACATGACTTCTTTTCCCCTCCTGGGTGCAAGAAACAAGCGGTCTATTTGATTCCTGACAGCACAGCCAAAACCAGGAGATACACTAAGTTGCAAAGCAAGTAGAATCATTGCCACCTAAACCCTCCATATTCACAAGCATAAGGACCATGAATTGTATCGTTCGCCACTACAGACACTAGGACTAGAAGACTACAATTATATGAGTTGTGCTGAACAAACATGGGATCTCCTGAGCAAATAAAATATCCGTAAGTAGAAACAAGAGCCTGTCATTGACACTACGGCATCCAAAGCAGTGTGTGAATCTACCAAGGAGAAGAAGAAAGGTATTGAGCTGGCAATCATTCAAGTCCTAGAAAAGACACCTGAGAAATCAGAAGAGAACAAATAAGGAATTTGGGTAGTTTTGGTTTTTGTTTGTTTAAATAGCTTTCTGTATTTAGGGAATGAATTTAAGTGTTTTTACTCAATTAACTTCATAATTAGCAAAAGAATTACGATGCATAGATCTAAGGGATCAAAAGACACAGCAAAACGATGACTATGCTTCTTTCAGAAGCTGCTTTATCCATCGCCATTTCCTGAAATAAAGGGAAGAAAAAGTTCAGTAAATCAACGTTTAGAGTTCTGTTTTGTCATAAGCTTGTTTCCTCCACGATCTCTTCAGTTTCTGAAAAGCATGAGCATAGTACACTAATTACAGACAGTATTATCTGAGACTTCCTGGTACCAGCCTTTGGTAATTGAGATGCCAAGATGACACACTATAAACATCTGCACATCTCAGAGGTTTGCCTGTTTCCTCATTTGTTTTTCAAGAACTTTAAGAAGCCCATTGTATGCAAGATCAAGAAGATCTTTGCAAACACAAATCCCACTTCAGAAAATCCCAGGTGATTGCACTTGACTTTTCTGGCACTTGAATGCTTGGATAGATTCCATAATAAAATATCTAGGAAAGAAAGTATGCACCTTCAATAAAATAAAATACATAATTTGGCATGCAATTGGCTGACCAACTACAAGCATTCAATGGAAGTCAGTAAAGTTTCTTCATACACACAAGCATATTCAGTGATAATCTTAAGTATAAAAAGTTACCCAAAATAATAAAACAAGTTATAGTTCTTATTGAAAATGAACAACTGTGAGTTCTACATTCTCTTCAGCATTCAGACTGACCACTACATAACTAAAAGCAAAGCCTGTCTCATGACAAGACCGTGTTTTTGTTTTGTTATTATAATAGTGAATACCTCTAGCACAGCACAGCCAAAGACAATTTATAAGTTAACTACTAGAAGCTGCCAGTCACATTCAAGCTTTGATTCAAGTAACTGGTTTGGTTTAAATTTTTCTGTTGCATTAGCTTTAATTACAAGCAATGCCAGTGTAACAAATCCCATTAAAGTTAACAAAGTTGTTATAAATTTACTCCCAACTTCAGTGCATGAGAATAAGCAAAAGAATTCGTCTTTATTATGTCGTTTACTCAGGAGATGAGAGAGAAAATCTTATAATTGGAGTGCAGTTTAACACTCCAGCTGTTGTAACATAAGCACAAAGCAACCAAACTAAAGCTATTACAGTATTCATAATTCGTATATAATCTCATAATGACAAAGCTGACTTCTGTCATCAGGACAATGTCCATCTGTAATTCAAGTTCAGCTGCGGAAGCATATACCTCATTGCAGCGTATGCAGTAGGAACAACAGTATGGTTGAATCCCTCTTCAGTTCTCTGATTGTTTGGTCACAAACAATTTTCTGCAAGGTTGCGTTAACAATGCATTTGTCCATTTATCTATGCTGCAGAGGCAATGGAACTACAGAAGTTACAGAACACAGCAAAACTGCTGCAGCGCTATAAAACCTGCAGTGATCTTGCTAGAATAAGCAAGATTTTGAGAGCCTGTGTTTTAGCAGGAGTTTGTCTTCTGTTCCATGAAGGGCTGGCAGCTGATCAGCTGAGGCAATGAGCACACATGGAGAAAGAAAGCAAAGAGATTCTGCTCCAGGATTACTCCTGTTACAACACTGTTTTGTTTACACAGCTAGGCCTTGCTTCTTAAGAGCTACTGCATGAAAGTCTCCTCCTGTGAATAATTACAGAAAATTTGAAATGAAAAAAACATTGCTGTCCTTTGCAAGTCAAACCATAGAGCACAGAGCTTCTACATGAAAAGTTATATAGCAAAGAAACAATCACAATAATTCATATATTTGGAAGATTGAAAACTGTTTAATCTATACATTCCTTCCAAAATTTGACTTGTTTAAGTAGCACTAAACAACCTGCAAAGATCAACTTTTGGATTTTACGCTAATTCAATCAGAGCTTCCTATGTGAAATCATAGCCTTAGCTGAAAAGGCCAGGCTACTAACTCCAGGAGGGGCTTAGTTAATATGTATGATCCCCTCCATTTATTAAATACATAATATCCCATTTTAATATTCCCTTATAATGTTTAAAATCCAAGTCACCAACTTAAGAGCCTGAGGAGTTTTCACTGTTTGCTAACGCACATGAAAATACATGAACATGAGAATATGTATGCTAAGGAGATCTAGAGTAGAAAAAAATCATAAAGTAAACAAACAAAGGATAATCCTGAATACATTAAATTCATTCTTTACAATTAGAACATTTCTATTTACTCTGAGGAATACTGGGTGTTTAACAGCTCTGTTAAATTCTGGGAGTTTAGTTCTGCAGTAATTTCTCAGTCATCAACAGAACAACACATAAAACCGAAAAAACACTAAGGATGACACTTAAAAACAGAGTCTTACCAGCATATTCTGCTAGACATATTATTTAGAAATCAGGGTACGTTCATTAACCAACACCCCCCATCTGCAAGAAGAAAGATTCAACAACACTGCTGCACTCCACTCTGAAAAAAAAGTAACTTAACTCTGTGCAGATTAGAGAGGCTATGTGCAGATACAGGTCTCATAGTCTGGTTCATAGCCACATGCACAGAGCCACGTTTTCAGATGAGAATGGGCCACAGTTAAGCCTAGTTCCAGTTACTTCCTAATATTTTCCTTGGCAGCCTACACTGATTATGAAAGGCATCAGCATGAGGAAAGGGAATTAAAGAATGGAGGAAAGAAGCAGGAGAAGTGGCACTTACTGTGTTGCATTTTGTTCCGCACACCACTTGCCGGTGGTTCAGCCACTGGGAGGCAAACACTTTATTTAGGGTTCCAAGATGAAACTCCCTCTCCTTCAGGAGGCTGGGAAGCTGTTGGGCTGCATATCCATGCAACAGGCGGTGGTAGCTGGACTCATTCTGCATCCAGACCTCCCTGCCTTTTAGGTAATACACCAAGGACCGCTTCACTGGAGGAAGCCGCTTCCTTTTGTGCACTGTATGATCCCATCCATACTGTGGAAAACAAACAAAGAAATTAGATAGAAAAACAAAAAACAGTAGTCTCCTGAATTCAGATCGCTGAAGTCTTCCAAACTATCCATAAGAAATCATACAAGATCAACACAGAAGTGCTAATACAGCCTTTACTTCATAGAATTAAACACATTTTGCTAAGGAAGTGGCACTGCAGTGGTGCCACAGACACTCCCCACCAGTTCAGCATTGCTGAAGAACTAGATGCTGAAGGAAACACGACAAACCTGAAAAAGAAACATTTTAAGCAGCTGAGAACAGCCCCAGCCTCCTCCCCGGCCTCAGTTACGCCACAGCAAAGCACAACCACACGGGGCAGGGGCCGCTCGGTACCGACCCTGGAGTCCACAGCTCTCTTGCGGCCGACGCCGGGCTCCGTCCGCTGCATGGCCGCGACCGGGGAGCTCTGCCCGGTACGCGGCCGTTACGGACACAACGGCCGAGCCCAGGGGGGCGGCGGGGGTTAGGCGGGAATCTGACAGCAGCGGGCGGGCGATGCTGCCCGGCCCGGTGCCGCGAGCTGTCCCCACGCCCGCCCCCCTCGCCCCCCCCCCTCCCCCCGGCGCACCGAGATCCCCCAAACCCCATTTCCTCTTTCTTCAGTCCCGGGCTCCGCAACCGGGCACCGGGTCGCGACGCCCGCCGCTCGGGGCTCCCCCCGCCCCCAGCCCCAGCCGGTGCCGAGGCTCACCGCGCACCGGGGCTCAATTCGCACCGCCCCCCGGGCCTACCTGCTCCCCATAGAGCCCCCCGGGCCCCGCGGCGGACGTCGCCGCCGCTTTCCGCTTCCTGCTAACTGTTTTCCTGGCCATAGTAGAAGGAAAGTGAAGACGAGAGGCCGAAAGCCCGGTCCGGACCCCACATGGAGCAGACGGAGCAGGCGGCCGCCAGGACACGGGGCATTAAGTGCCGGCAGCCGTGCCCGGCCGCTCTCTCCGCCGCAGGCCCCTCCGGACCGCCCCTCACGACATTTCCCCGTTTTGCGGCAGTCGCATCGCAGCTTTACGGCAGCTCCCTCCGCCCCGCCCGGCAGCCCCGCGTCCCGGCACACGGACGGACGGCGGGCACCGCCCCCTCTGCGGTTGCCAGGCGACGTGTTCCGGGCCCGGGCGACTCCCCCTGGTGGCGGCGGAGGCTGAGGCGGGGAGAACGGGGAGGCGGCGCGGAGCGAGCAGCCCCGCTCCGGTCCCGCCGTCCGGCTTCATCCCGGTTTCCACAGCGTCTGTCCGGAAGGATTCACCTCCCTCGCCCTGCTAGCCACGCTGCTTTTGATGCGGCCCAGGATACGGTTGGCTTTCCGGGCTGCAAGCGCAGAGTTGTCAAATCATAGGATCGTTAAAGCTGAGACCACTGAGATCATGTAGTCCAGTCATCAACCCGTCACCTCCGTAACACTCAACCACGTCCCTCAGTGCCATGTCTGCCCTCCTCTCAAGCACCACCCAGGGGTAGCCCAGGGATACCACCCCCTGAGCAGTCTGTTCCAGTACTTATCACTCTTTATGAAATTATTTTTTTCCTAATATCCAACCTGAACCTTCCTTGGCACTACTTAAAGCCGTTACTTCTTGTCCTGCTGCTGGCTCAGGCCCACCTTTCCATGTAGCAGCAGCCCCAATTTTTTTTTTGGCAGGGCTGTGACCTATTGTTCTCCCAGTTTGTACTGATACTGGGGGTTGTCATGACCCAGGAGTGCCTTGCACTTGGTTTTGTTGAACTCCACAAGATTCAACAAGCTCGGTGCCATGACCCCTGCCTTGGGGTTCCATGACCGCCTAACTTCTGATGAAATGCCTTTTTCTAACACCCACCCTGACCCTCTCCTGATGAAGGTCCATGACATTTCCTCAAGTCCTGCCCCATCACTCTTCACTGAACACAGTTTGTAATGCAGCCTGTGTTAAATCAGCCGCTGCGCTCAGGCCCTCTGTACATACTTGTATTTTCACTGTAATTTAGAGCAAGAAAAAATGCACTCGATGTACACATTGCCCCAAGGGACACCCCTACAGCTGTGGGTTCATGAAGTGTGTGGCTTTTTCCATCTCAACATGGCATCTCCTAGCTACCAAGCATACAACAGCTCTTGTTTCAGATTTCAAGATGCTTTCACCATCCGGGAAAATAGGTCATCAATCTCTCCTCTGTACAGGTGGGAATACTGAAATAGACACTTTCAGGCTGTAGGCTCCAAATGACTTAATGCACAGAGACAGTAACACTGCTGAGAAAATTAAAAAACAAAAGGGATTTGTGTTGTGAATGGTCTATCTTCAGTGGCATCTCCATAGATCAGTTCAACACTGGTTCTTACAAAGATAAATTACACAAGCATTGAAGGGGAAGATGGTCAGATATTTACAATTTCATATACGTTTGCCTTTTGGGATTCTATAAATAAACATAGCTGTTACACTAAAAATTTGTTTTGTGTGTATGCATATTTTTCCTTGGCTTAAGATTTCAATACAAGACTAAACTGGAAGACTTTGTTAGTGTATTTCTTCCAAAATGTGGAAAGTCAGTAGGACTGGGGATGTGACTGTCCCCTTGTACTCAGCACTGGAGTGGCCACAACTTGAGTACTGTGCTCATTTTGGGCCCTCTCTACAAGAAAGACATTGAGGCTCTGAAGCATGTCCAAAGAAGGGCAATGAAGCTGTGAAGGGCCTGGAACACAATTCTTATGTGAAGCAGCTGAAGGAGCTGGGATTGTTTAGTCTGGAAAAGAGGATTCTCAGAGGAGACCTTATAACTCTGTACAGCTCCCTGAGTGGAGATTGTAGTACGCTGGGGTCAGCCTCTTCTCCCCAACAACAGCAATAGGACGAGAAATAATGGCCTTACAGAAGTTCAGGTTGGAAATCAAGAAAAAAATTCTCTCAGAAAGAGTAGTCAGGCATTGGCAAAGGCTGCCCAGAGAGGTGATGGTGTCACTGTCTCTGGTGGAGGTGCAGCACTGAGGGATGTGGTTTGGTGGATAGGGTAGTGGGTGGTGGGGCTGGTGGCTGGACTAGATGATCTCAGAGGTCTTTTCCAACCTCAACAATCCTATGAACGGCCTACTTTCTGTTTAAGAACATCTTTGAGGTTTAGACAGATCTAACAAATATACTAAATAGACTGTTACTGTTTAGTGCAGAATGGATATGTTGCAAAACAAGTTATGTTGATGGTTAAGCATAGCAGAGGCACAGGCTCTGTGCCTGTCTTTAATATTTCTTTAATTTTAAGCTTCTGAGTCTCAGTGGGTAATACCTGGGAAGTAGGGGCAGGCTTTGACAGGCAGACCTTTTAATTATTGGCAGCCCTCTTAATTACCAAGCAGCTTGACACAGAATCACAGAATTGCCAGGGTTAGAAGGGACCTCAAGGATCACGAATCTCCAACCCCCCTGCCACAC